TATAATATCTTATACATTGTTGCAAAATTATATCTTTTTCTTTATAGGCTTTTTTTTTTAAAGACATTTTCTCGGAATCCGATCGAATATCCGGAAAATGTCGGATATCCGACTCGAAAAAATTGCCTTCTCAAATATCCGATGCATCCCTAAAATAGCAATTATCAAAATTATTTAATAAAAACAAATATGCTAATGTCATATATATATACACATGATATTTCATATCGTCAAATAATTGTTCACTTAGATATTTGCAGCAATCTCTATCTTTGTTTTTTGTGTTATTCTTACCTTCCTTCTATCGAGGGTCGTTCGATCAAGCAGGTTCATTGGAGAAAGAAACGCAAGAAGCGGCACAACGTTACTCCCGTGGAGAAAATCGATCGCTGACTGTATTTGTTTCTATACAATTAAACTCTCTGTCTATACGATCGATGCTTGATACACTGGCGTACAATGAAGCTCCAATTCCAGAGGAAGTCACTCTCCAACGCGATAAATCGCAATTCGGTCGACGCGATAGTGACTGAAATCTTTTCACGATATGCGCTATGCAAAGGCATGAATGTAGTATGAATTCGTAAAATCGCAGGTCGCATAAAGAATCAACAATGACGTCACTTTTCAATGTTTTTCTGGCAAAAAGATGAAGTTCTCGGAATTGTCGCGTTTGACGAGACATCCAATAATTCTTTTGCGACGTGAGTGAAGATATTACGAAGATATATATACATACCTTCGCGAAAAAATATTTCGCGAGTTTACCGGAGGATTCAATGATTGATATGATGAGACGCGATTGCTTTGCAGAAAATAGGTAAATTAACGAGGATTAACAGAACTTTTTTTGAATTTTCGACTTTAAATGTCAGAAATTAATTTTTGTTAAAAAAAAAAGCAGATTCAAATTTTTCCGAATATTTCTGTAATGAAAAGAAAAGGAAATTGAAAAATTTGAAATAATTTTGCAAACTCGTAAAATTATTTCTATAGGGAAAGTTTCCTTTGAATTAATTCCAATTCACCAACTTTTCTGCAAGGCGGTAATGGCGAATTGTGAAAACTAACAGAATATCTCTTTTGGATAAGACCGCGATAAGCGCAATCACCAACTACCTACCAATTGGTCCTCCGAATTGTTTGTCAATGATTTGTACACATGTTGCAAATTATAGATTTACTCCATTGCTCATTTCTTTCCTTCCTTTTTTTTTTTCACTGACTTCTTCGAGTATTTGCACCGCACACAACACATGCATATGCAATTCACAAATAGCTCTCTCCGTCATTTCTTTGTTTAAATATATATATATATGTATATATGTATATATGTATATATGTATATCGTTTACATTTGTCGCTACGTCTGATTCTCAAAGTATTTGCCATGTTACATTCTCTCATTCTTTTTTTCTCTCTCACTCTCTCTTTCTCTCTCTTTCATTCTCATTCTCTCTTTCTTGCGCGCATTCTCTCTCTCTCTCTCTCTCTCTCTCTCTTTCTCTCGGGATCTGCGTCGGATTGTGCACATATACGTACAATTAACATATACGACATAGCAGTCGTTGAGAACATCCATGATTGACTTTTGCTACAATTATACAGCTTATTTAGAGTACAACTTGTTCTGTTATACAAATGATTTCCTTCAATGTGACGCCTGCGATGTGATTGTTTTCTTCTTCTCCACGTATATACGTATGTGTGTTTCCTTGTTGTTCTTGCGTTATGTATGTGGAGTGTATTAGTGGATTATTGTTTTTATCATTAATGTAGTTATCATTAATATTAGGCGTATATATATAGTACAGTTCTTTTTTTTTAAACACCGTACGATACATACATACAGATGCCCGCGACAACTCGAAAATTTTCTTTCTCTCTCTCTCTCTCTCTCTCTCTCTTGCCATTTTATTAATTAGCATTACATTGATAGGTCGATCCTCTTTATCTGCGCTTTCTACACTTGCACTTTTCTCACGCCAAAAATATGCACATAAAGAGAAGAAAGCAGGAATATGAAATATCTTTTCACTTATTGCAATTTTAGTTCTTGAAATTGATGTTTTGTTTCGTCAATATATTTATATTTTATCATTATATTAATTATATATTTATTTGTATTTTCAATTTTACGAGTAGTAGATTTTAATACTTTAAATTAAACATTACAATTGCATTTTAAAATTCTATTTTTTTTTAAAAGAAGGATACAATCATACGCGCGTTGCCAAAATCATTATTTTCTCTCATATTCTTGCTTCCGTTTTTACTTGTTCGCGCTCTCGAAGTGGAGAAAGTATAGAAAAAGGAGAGAAACCTAATAAAAAAGCAGATTGAAATCCCGTATAATTTCAACGAGTTCAGATTTTGATACTGTAGACGGAAAAATAGACGATCTCTGTTTATCTGCAAATGGAAACGTGATAATTGCAAGATCTCTTCCCGTATCCACAGCAAAAATCGAGCTCGTTGAAATTAACTCGTTCTCAATGCCAGCTTTATAAACCACGTTTTTCGAACACGCACATTTTACACACACACGTTGCTCCTTTTTCTCTTTACCTTCCTTTCTTTCTCATTCCCCGATCGCACGAGGACGCATTCGTTGTCGACAGTTCGCTTCAAATCGCGACGGTTCGCGATCGATTAATTGCGGATCGATCAATGCACTCGATGTTACGCGGGCCGCGTAATATCTGGCATGTTTTTCTCGCGAAAACATTCGCGCGGCTAAATTAACGCGTACATTACACTTCATTACATATTCAATGATACATGATAGATACCTTTTTTTATTTTTATTATCTCACTTATGTACAGAGGGCAGCTTACCTAGAGTAGGTAGGTTTAACGCCGGATGACGACTGAAGAAATAAGCGGGACGCCGGCACTCCTCGATAATTGACGCCAGATCGATGCTGCTGGTACCTCTGAATGATTTACAGTTTACTTGAATTTGTATCCGACCCCGTTACAATCTCGGCCTTCGTCGATTCCGATAATAATGCCGATACTAATGCTTGCTACCTTAAATAATTCCGCGGGGAGAGTGCCATTACGATTGATACAACGTGAAGTGGCCGACTGATAATTATTGAACGTTACATGATACCATGTCGACAGTGTCTCGAAAAACTCAGGGATCTAACCGTCTAAATTTTACGGTCTACCGAGAACGATTCTCTTTTGCTCGCAATTTCGTCGTTCTCGGAGTCGCTTAATAGATAATCGTGAATAATTAGTTATACACAGCAAGAACTACAGAAATTCTCTCAGAGTTTCTTTTTTTTTTTTATATAATCTGTCACTTAATGTGCTTTTATAAATATCCGTTATCGTTTTGAACGAGACGGGACAGATGTAAATAAATTTACGAGTACAAAGTGTAACGAAAAATGGAGTAAAAGTACAATTGTAATTAACGGTGCAATTAACCCTCCGCGAACTAGGTGGAAAGTCAATATGGATCATATATGGATATATTTCATGCCCCATATTATATTTTATCATGAATATACTATAATTTAGTATGATAACAATGCATTTTCCAGTTGCATCGGCAACTGATGCGCGCAGTACTTTTAGGAAGTTATAGAAATTCATTCAATTGGGGTATGTCATACCCCACCTGGTTCACGGAGGGTTAAGATACTTTCATGAACAGTGTCTCTCAAGATTTAATATTATAATCATCCTTAATAAAATGCTAAAACGTTCGCGACGATATATTTCAGTCGCAACGCAAAAATGCAGTTTAGCATCTGAATTGCTTGATTGAAGTGCTCGAGATTTTGTTGAGCAAAAATAAATTGTGCATATAAATGACTGGTGTTGGTCGCCATCGTTATCGAGACAGTTTATATTTAAATTACGAAAATTACGCGCCGAGTATACGTCAGTGAATCATCGATTGCGCCATAAATAATCGAATACTACCTATTGATCGGGACAAAACACTTCAAGTGTGTCAAAATGGTTGAGAAATACTTTAGAGAACGACGTAATTTTAGAGAAAGACGTAAATTTCTACTTTTTAGAAATGGGCAGCTTTATAATTTTTTAAAAGCGTATCGCTGAAATATTTTTCTCTTCTTGTTTAAAACTTTTGCTTTTATTTTCAATGTTTGAATTTTTCAATTTATGGTTATATCCGATTACAGATCGATCGTCGGGTCTATTTAACTCGCTTCAATTACATATTAACGTAAATCAAATTTTGCAAATATTAACACGAAATATTAACATAAATTAAATCGTGCTCACGCACCGCCTTTGTATTTAACCCTTCAATTCCTCTGGTCTCCGTGAACGTTTTAAACGTGCTTATGTTTGTCGCTGCAATAATGTCACTAATTGTTATAGAATATCGCTAAATATTAAATGTATGACAATATTTAAATATAAATACTCTCTTGCATAATATGTTTTCCTAAACAGCTTACAACAGCTTGCAACTTCCAAGCAACATTAAAACGTAAACTTTACGTACGTTATCTGCTCACATTAAATTAGAGGAGCTGAAGGATTAATTCGGACTCTGTCATCTCAGATTGATCGGCATTTTGAATTCGTGAAGTTTTATCGAGTGATTGACGCTTATTGTCAGATTTTCCTGGGCGTATCTTATTTAATGCGTGATCTTGAGACATGGAATCATTCACTTTTGCGTGAGTCTACAGTGCCAAACATCGAGTGAGCAACATCGTCCCTGCTATAACGATCGTCGTCATTAATCATATATCAACCGCGACAAAATGTACCTTCATTCAATTTCTCTTCTTCGCGGTTTACTATCTTCTCCCCTTTTTATTAACAAAAATTAAAATATCCATCATTCCCTTTGGTTTCAAATCTTGATGCTACAGATACGTGAGAACAATCTTCATACATGCCATTGAACGAAATAATAACAAAATTATTATTTCAGCATAACGTGAAATTCATAATTTTTCTGTCGATAGAAAAATATAAAAGGTACAATTAAATTAGATTTATTTTTGTTGCTGCAAAAATTTTTATTCAGATAATTAATGCTAACTGCGACTAATTGGATCTTGTCCTTCTTTTGGCTTTCAAAGGAAGCAATTAAATTTAATTAACCTTCGAGAGCGTGAATTTGTATGACCATTACAATTGACATTTATTTCTGATAATTAAAACGCGACTACTGGAAATCGCAAAATGGAAAACGCATTTTCGCGTGTCTGCAACATGGAAATTTGAACTTTCGGAAATTATATCAAGTTCATCTTTGACTATCAAATGGATGAACCGAATGGAGAACCGCAACCGTTCATTTGACGGTCGTTGGCTAACTTGGTTGCCACCTCGATGATCACAATCATTATGTATATATATATATAGCGTACATTATCCATATATATCATCTCGCGCCGAGAAAGGGTGAAAGAAAACAGGTGAGAACGAAAGTCGAATTTTCAAATAAATAACATAACGAGGGGAAACGACGAAGTATTAAGTGGACTAGTTAACACACCAGCGTCGCACACGACACTTCCTTCTCCTTTCTTTCTATTTCTCTTTCTCTCCTTCTTTCTCCCTTTTTCTAACACACGTAACACACACGTGCACACATGCGCGCAGACACACGCACAAAATACGATCTCTCGGTTTTTCTCCTTCTTCTGCGTGTCGTCGCATTTTTTTTAGCAATTACAGTTAGCGTTCGCTGGATTGGTCGGCTGATCGGTGAGTCGTTGGCCCTTGTTCTGACCCATACCGCCCGCCCCCATCAGAGTTGGATCATTGTCCAGAGATTCGCTCATCTTGTCGCATATTATGTCCACCAGCTGCTCGAACACCGCCTGCCGAAACGAGAGAGAACAGAATCGATCATCTACGTGACCTCGCGACAAGCGGGATCGATATATGCCTCGCGTTCGCGTCTATTCCGAGACACAATAAAGTGAGATTGAAAACGTGTCAAAAATCGAAAACGCCGAAAACGTCTAAACATTTTCATGAATGTTTATATTGCCTTCAATTGTGTATATAGATATAAGATAACTAGAAAAATTCGATATTTTTCTTGACAAACAGAGATTTGGCTCTAAATGAAGTTAATATTTTAAAATAAAATTTATTTTCTTTTCCAAAAATTTATTATGAACATTTAAATGTTAAATAGATAATTATTAGTTGAATAACAGTTATTTGTATCATTTTCTACAAAGGCTTTTCTAGAAAGGCAAATAAAAATTCAAAAATCATCTGTATATGTAATTTTATATTTTTTTAAATAAGATATTTATTGTATGCTTTTTATTGTATGCTTTTTATTTAATAAACAGCCGATTATTGAATTTGTGACACGCACCTTGACGTTGATGTTCTCTTTGGCCGAAGTTTCAAAGAATCGTACTCCTAATTGCTCCGCCAACTGTTTTCCCCTTTCGGTACTGATCACCCTTTCTTCTTCCATATCGCACTTGTTGCCCACAAGAATTACTTGGGCGTTGTCCCACGAGTAGTTCTTTATTTGCGTGACCCAATCCTGGACTGAATTAAAGGACTCCTCGTTTGTGATGTCATACATTAAAATGAAACCCATCGCGCCTCTGTAGTAGGCCGTCGTGATCGTTCTGTATCTTTCCTGACCCGCCGTGTCCTGTGAAGATATAATAAGCGACGTAATTTTATATTATAAATGGATACAATCATGTACGCGGAGGATTGCTTGCAATACGGCATTTCTAAAAGTATTTTATAAGACAGATTGTTAAAATATCAATTTAAAAAATAATTAAAAACATATATTTGTTACATAGGCAAGTCATTATTTTAATGACATATATTAATCTTGAATAATCCATGTTAATATCATAATGGGCTGCTTTTCGTCAGGAAATTATATTATACGTGCATAATACATTGATCATATACTGACCCAGATTTGTAACTTGACCCTTTTGTCGTGTCTGAAGACGGTCTTCACCTTAAAGTCGATCCCTACGGTTGACACAAAAGCTGAAGTAAAAGAATCGTCTGCGTAGCGAAAGAGGAAGGAAGTCTTGCCAACAGACGAGTTGCCAATTATCAGCAGTTTAAACATATAATCGAAGTTTTGATCCGCGGCATCTCTGCCATCCTGACGCGCCATCTGTAAAGGTTATTATTCGTGTTATCTCAATTTATAAATTCAGATAATTTCTATATTTTTATACCTAAACTAAAGAATTCATAAATTAAAAAAAAAATTAATATAAGTGAAATATAATATAAATTAAAATATTCTTATCAATTTTTGGATTTAACATCTCAACAGAAACATCTCAAAGAAAAAAATTAATTTTAAGATTTTTTTTAATGTAATACAGAATTTACAAATTCAGATAATTTCTATATTTTTAGATCTATAAATTTAAAAATGTATACATTAAAAAATTATAATGAATTATAAATGGAAAGATGCTTATTAATTTTGTAATTTAATAGAGAAAATTTGATTGTAAGATTAAAATTAAAATGTATTAAAAAATTGAAATATATTAAAATGTATTAAAATTAAAATGTATTACTTTTTATATTTTTTAAAATGTAATACATAATTTATGATCAATAATTAAAGAAGTAATTTATTATACTTTTCCATGTTTTGTAACATTTATGGGTCAACGGTTTAAAAGAAAGATACACGAGACTTATATATTGTGACTGGCTTTGTGTATGTGAACGTGCACGTCGTAAAACTGCTCGTTGTTCTATATTGGACGAGATGGACAAAAGGAAGGTTCACGATGCAATAGATGAGCTTACTATTGATGCGAAATTTGCCACGGTTTATCGGGTCGCTTGGTCACGTTTACGAAAACGTTGGATAAAAATATCGAGAAGTTTGAGGCATAACAGCCTCAAACATATAAAACCACACAAGAGAAATTCGGTTTTACTCTGTTCCTCGCAGAGTCAGTTTTGGAATCAATTCAATAATACCAATAAAAAGTATTATAGCTTCAAAACTATAGCTTCAAAACTTTTCGGAGGAATTATTTATCGAATAGTTTTTCTTTTTTAAAGTTTTTCTTTTGTGAATTATAACAGAAGCGAAATATCAAATAAATATAAAACCGTATGGTATTCGAGTTACAATAGTTTTGTGTTACTGACAAAGCAGGATTGAAAACTGTATGTAACTGCAAACGTTCAAAAATACAGTTACAATATGCACATTTTATCGGTATCATCGAATTATGAATCAATTGTTTAATGGACCGTTTTAAAAACATTGGAAAAGCTTCGGTGTTGAAAATTTTTTCTGAAAAATTAAAAAATTTTTGAAAATATTTTTAATTAAAATTTTTTAATGTCAAAATATAATATCTTTAACTTTTAATTTTAAATAATGTAAAGAAATTTTGAATAGGGATAAAAAGAAAAATTAAATTTTATTAGCGTTTTAATGCTCCTTTGATCGATTGTTAACCTCGCGTTATTATATAATTATTTTCACACAATTTCTTTGAAATTACAAGCGGAAAATTCAATTAAATCACTCGATCATGGAATATATAAATTGTCAATATTATCCCGCACGAGTTTCAATTAAAGTCCATTGAATTTTCTCGCGCGTTTTCCCTTCGTTATAGTTAGTTCTCTCTTTGCTCGACGAAACAGCACTCATGCTAACGGATACTCATGTCGAGTCGATATTCCGATACCGGATTATTCCTCTGCGAGGTAATCTCGACGATAGACAGCATCCGGGCCATCCGCGTGCGTAGCTCGAAAACGGAATCCTTAACTGGAGTGTAGGACGTGTTCTCGCACTTCCTCGACATCTCAAACGTCACACCGATACGACACCCAATCGATCTCTTTCTCTCTTTACACTCTTCTTTTATTGCAGCTTTCGATCACATTCCCGATCGATTTCTCAGTCCGCTTTAGTTTTTATTGATTGCAATTTATTAACTATTTATCTCAATTGTCTCTAATCTCATGCTGTCTACAATTCATTTACCGTTTTATTAATAGTCTCTCATTTCATTTAGCTAAAACTCATTAACTGCTTGTCTGTCTAATCTCGTACAAGTAATTGTTTCATTAAATATTTAGTTCGATAGCTTTATTAAATAATAAATATTTATTTGACACTCCGCTTTGTTTTAATCTTCCTTCAGCAGATGTTTATGTTTTAGGAAAATTGTCGATTATCGTCGATCACTTTTCCGACGCACTATTTTCACTATTTTTTTTTTCCTTGACGCGATATGCAAAATAAAATGTATCATCTCGCCGCGTTTAATTAATTAACCAAGGAGAATCCGAGGGAATAATAAAGGAATTACTGTGAGACGCGTTTCTTCTTCGCGTAAACAGCATTACATTAATGCGAAATTATTAAACGCGAATAAAGAGACTGGTCCGAATGAACAACGTGGCGATTGTTCGCGGTTCTTTCTTCCGCTTCTTGTTCCACCGTATTGTTTCCACACGCGTGACGACGTGTCGACGACGATAATCGGACTTGCGATAGTCTGCGGTTCGTACAGGTGCGTACGATCGCGTTCACGTTGCCTTAATTTGTTCTTGAGTTCTTGACTCTTCGGTGTTACGTAAATGAATAAATATTTTATCCGATTTTTTTCAGGAATTTTAAGCAAAAACTGACGTTACTTTTTTATATACATTTAATTATATACATATAATTGTTAAATATAATACTGATTTTATTAATTAAGATAGAAATTAAAATGAAAATTTATTTCTATGTATATCCAATTGACCCTCTGTTAGAGATTAGTTCAGGAAAGAATATTTATTCTTAAAATAGTCTGTAATTATTTAACATTTTTAAAGAAATCCGATTTGAAAGGATACGTATTATGGAATTATTCAAGATTGTTCAATTATTCCCTATATTTCTATTGTATTTTTAGAGAAAACGGAATAATTCTTATAAAAAAGAATCTATTCCAAACAGTTTTATATTATTAAACATATTGTAGAAGCAACTTATATTTATAATATGTTGGAGAGTATCAAAGAAGCAGTGATCTTATATATTATATAAAAATAACACAAATATAACAAATAATGAATAAGGATATTATGTGAAAGTACGTTCTTTAATTAATTAACGTATGCGCGACACAATATTTTCATTTTACAATATTTCTCGAAGTTTAAAAGTTGTTTGTGTCAAATGATGCGTTACGGAAATAGGCGAAGCCTTTACATAAAAAGAGAAAATTCACTTTAACGGAACATCTAATCTATTCAACGTGACAGTAATTAACGGAGGTATACCTTTCGTCGCAGTTTGTTCTCTCTCTCGTCGCGAAAATAACCATTCTCGTGATAAAGTGCAAAAGAAGAAATTTCTTCAAGCTCATCGATTACCGACTCGTCAAAAGTAACGCGGCTATACTTGCGATTGGAAATAAATTTGTGGATCGAGAACTATAAATACTACTTGCACGAATGTAAAACCGAGGGTGAGCCGAGAAACTTTTAGATCCGGTAGCAGCTACCTATCGATTTCCCGCTTGATTCACTATATAAGTTATTTCAGAAGTAAAAAATATGACCTGTTCTTTCACTTTATAGGTTCTTTCAAAAATCTATAAAGATCTTGTTTACATAAAGTTTTACTATACGAGTACATATATGAGACAGAACGTAGAACATGCTTGAAAACAATCTGATGGATTTGAAACCTACTGTTTTCCCAGAATTTCGATAAAAGTTTCTCATCTTCTTTCGCGATTTCTTTAGATAATAATCGAGGGGATGGGCGGAATAAAGACATAATTCTACTAAGGCCCTTTTTCCGGTAATTAGCTTTTTCATGTAATATTGATCGTAATAGAGAAGTATTGTAACAAGTAACTTCTTAAAGACATTACATAAATTCATTTGATATTGTACCCATTTGTGTATAATAAAAAAGAAAAAAGTAACAAATTATTTTAATTTTTATTAATATCAAGATTTCGTAATTTTATTCCGCCCATCCTCTTAATTATTCCAGTTAGCAGTTTATCTTAGTATGCACATTTTACTAAATTTACCGAGTTTGCATTTAAAATTCTATTTTATCGTCAAACTTCATTTTCGCTGAATTTAATTTGACATTTGAAATTTTCACTTACATATGATTGAAACATTATTAATATCTCGACATTTTCTCGGCAGGAGGAACTCGAGGCCAAATCACAGATTAAACTCGCAAATTCTCTCAGCACGTACTCAGAAGTTCATGCGACTCATGTATCACTACTCGGAGTTACTAATATCCGTTAAACGAATGCAATCAAGACAAAATGACCGCGACAATTACACAGAGAATACTGCATATAATTATTTCTCGAGGCGTAAAAGAGAGAGGATAAAATCTCATCCGGAAGATTGCGTCACGCACTCACACATACGTACTTGCACACGTATTAGATGACACGGTAAAAGAAAAAGTGGGACAAGGTTTTCCGCCTGCGATAACGATATCGGCGCCGTATGTCATGTTAACGTTAACAACGGTCGGTTCTGGTGAAAAAAGAAAAGTGCAGGTATGTCACCACCTGCGGGCATTGTTGTACAATGTTACGACGATTTCCGTGACGGATGGTGGAAAATAATTGAGCGTGTCTCGGTGGACAGATGATGATTGAGGTGACGCGCGTTCTACGGAGGTCAAGTAGTTACGGAAATCGATGGTACGACGATGACGACGACGACGATGGGACAAGTCCATTTCTTCTTCGCAACTTCGTTTTAACACGAAATTACAATTTCAGTTTCATTATCAGTTTATATCGCGGTTGCTAGCAATATGTTTCGCTCATCAGAAACTTTATTCGATATCCTGTTTCTTTACATATTGGTTAATTGAATTTCTGATTTTCCCAGGAACATTCGCTTTAAAAGCCCATTGAAGTGTGCCTTAATAGCTGCAAAGATTACGAAGATATTCATGCTGTATCAAACGAGAATAACTTTGTGAGATACAACAATATATCGGACTAGTGAGATGTGTGATAGAGTGGACACAATAGGATCCGAAATTAGAATTTATATAGATTCATACAGAAAGAACAATTTTGCCGAAGTATCTAAAAATTTAACTAGATACAGATCTGAAAATAATTTTGTCGAGCCATCAAAATAATGAAGTATGTAGAAAACTCAAGCATGATGAATAATGCTACGAACCATTTTGATATTCTAGCAATCAACTTGAGTGTCTTACATAATTATTTTGATAATCTATCAAATTATTTTCAGATCTGTATCTATAATTAAATTTTTATCTTACAATTAGTAAAACGTTCTTTCCGTGTTCCACGCAAATTTGAGGATAAAAGGAAATAGGACTGGTTTGAATTCTTCGATTTGAATTCTCGTTTAACTAGTAACAATTCGATTCGAGGCGGGTCAGATTACAATTATCGGTCTTCCGATGGATGTGCAATCGTCCGATCCGCGGCCACGCTCGATTCCATTGATTTCCGACGGCGACAGCGGAGCCAGCGAGGGAGCAAATATTTTCGGAGGCAAATCGATTGTCATACCCGGTTGCCCACCCACGCTTTCATGCTCTCGCACCGCCCGTTCGTAGTTACGTAGTTTCGATTTCAGTGCATCCGTAGAATGAACGGCTACGGAAGATGGAGCCTCCGTTTACGTCAGAGACACGCGCGTCGGCGCGACGTGAAGGAGCAGAGTCTTTGAACAGCCGCCCGGCGCGCCTACGTCGAGGACGAGCAATTAATCCCTTCGAAACGTACAGCTGACTAATGTCACGATGGCTTTCCATCTTGTGAGATTATTAAAGTTGACCCTTTCATATTAACAACCTAATAAAGGTCCGATAATTAGAAAATGATTAAAAATGAAAGATGATCCAATTGAGAAACATAAGACTCGATTTCGCATTTTGCACAAAAAGAGGAAGAAAATATTTTACGTAATGTGCGACAGAGTGTCGTGCGATGTTTTGATTGATTTCTACAATTATTACATGTCATTTCGCTTTAAATTTATGAAGATGAGCTAGTTAATTCATTAACTAATTATGATGTTCTTACGTTCCAGAAGTTTCGAAAAGATTAATGATATCATTCTTTTTATTTGAGAAAGATTTAAAAAAACTCAATCGGTTCTCGCATCCGATGATGGAAGCCGATACTCAGCTGAGCGTTGGATAACAGCGAGCTAACTTATCGGCCTTTATCTCGCCTTTTCTCATTAGCTTCAATGATTAATGAAAAAGTCAAATGAAGGTATTCATGGCAATTCTCTGCGAAATTAGTATCAGGAAATAATACGGAAGGGGATGTCGTGAAACGGATAAATGGTCGAACAAGGAATTGATCGCCAGAGCGTGGTCGCCTACGTCACGACGACTCTACGGCGTCGCATGAAACGCAGAAAGTGAGCTCGAGTGAATGAAAGGCCAGGCGATCATGCCCGCAGTTTTACGACTGGCAGAAAAGAGACCGAGAGAGGAGGCTTTATCGTCGCCATGTATATTGGGCCAAGCTTGCGACAAGTTCTGGGATAACATATGGGAAACTTATATTTAAAAAAATAGAAAAAAGAAAAAGAGCAGAAAGCGTACATGAAATAGTTAAACTGGCAACGTTCCAATCTGCGTACTTTTTTGCATAAGTATGCATTTTACGTGAAACTAGAAGGAAGAGAAGAATAGAGAATACACAAGATAAATATTCAGAAAGTGGGAATATCGAAATAACAGAGAGGTAGGCAGGAGCATGAGAGAGATCAAGAGAGCGAGAGCGAGAGAGAGAGAGAGAGAGAGAGAGAGAGAGAGGAGGGGAGAGAGAGAGGGAGGGGGGGGGGGAGAGAGAGAGAGAGAGAGAGAGAGGAGGGGAGAGAGAGAGGGAGGGGGGGGGGGAGAGAGAGAGAGAGAGAGAGAGGGAGAGAGGGGGGGGGGGAGAGAGAGAGAGAGAGAGAGAGAGAGGGGGGGGGGGGGGGGGGGAGAGAGAGAGAGAGAGAGAGATGAAGGGAAATCAATAAGCACAAGCTACCGACGCGTTTACTTTCGCGAGGAAAGCCTCTTTCGCGAGTTCCTGAGTTCTCTAACGATCGCGAACAAGTTCTCGCGGAAGTGCTCCGAGGTGTCACCTGGAAGAGTCACTCCCTGGGGATGGGGAAGGAAGCTGTCTCCCTTCGCGGACGACGGATCGCTCCTCGCTGTGATCGTCGACGTGGGAAATCCCGCACGGATTCGCCGTCGGTTGTCGGCTGCGACGAGAGCGGAGAGATGCGACGACGGACGGGATGCACCACGCGCTGCGCTGCGCTCGGCTGCCGATCGATTAATATTTAACGCACGAGGGGGGTTCGCGAGGAGAGGGATGAAGCGGGCGGCCAAGCGCAGACGGGAGATATTTCCTCTCGTTGCAACAACGCGCCCTCGCGATGTGAGATGTCTCGCACTGACCAGCACGGCACACGATAGGGGGAGTTTATTTCGTAACAGCGAATATAAGGAGACTGGACTGACCGATCTCGTTGAAGCGTCTCGCGCACCGTAGACCACCCGCTTGGCTATAGCTAAAATATCGACCATTTCGTACGACCCCCGCCCGTCGTCGACCAGATCCGGGGGTAGATCCGCGCCTGCGCTACCAGCAACCCCGACTGACATCAATATAATTGTGAATAGAAGCACACGTTCGCCGGGGGAGAGAGAGAACACTTGTTGATCCGGGGGATGCCCCGCGGATATCTCGCCTCGAATGACTTTCTGTGATTTTTAATCCGTCATTTCCAAATTATTATCAGTCTCGTCAGATATTTCCTTTTCGATAGAAAAATATTTTTATTAGGATTTTATACATAAGGACTTTTTCTGGTTGAAAGCATAAAGTCTTCTATTCCTTGTTGTGTATAACATTGACAAATATCGATTCGAAGTGATTTTTTATACTTCTAATCTGGAAGAGATTCAATTTTTAATCTGAATCTTTTATATATATAAAATTAAAAAATTTTATTATCAGTAAGGAAAAAGAAAAAAATGAAACAATTAACAGAGCTTTTAATAATTAAATTTGATAATTTTTAAAAAATTTATTTTACACCAAAAATTTTAATCCAATTACATGGTTTTTATTTTTTTTCTAAAAAAAGAATATTAATCAATTTGAATGTTTAAATAAAATATATCTGATGTAAAAAAAAAATAAATAATTATCAGACAAACTCACAATTTTGGTTAAGAAGAATTAATTAAAGAATTTGTCATTAAAATGTTTAATATGAAAATTTTCTCTCTTTCTTCCTCTCTTTCTCTTTTATATATTTAGTGTGAAATTCATAATCGATGTATCTTTTAAATATGAAAGACTACATGTTCCATCTACAGTAAAACTGAAGAACCTCTCCTCTGTTTCTGTCGGCTAGTAAATTTTTTCATTATTATCAATATTGATTTAAATTGATGCAACGCCTCAATCATTAAATGGTCACAATATCATCGAATTCTCGATTAATTTATTCTCGATTAATGTTCCCGCAGGGATAATTGATTCGCATAGTTATTTGGGCTTATTGTTAGTAAATCCACGTACCCGAGCTCAATGCACTGTAGACATACATTCACACATCATATAAACATACGTATGTACACAGTGTAAGCAATAAAGCAATACGAATTTGTAGAAAAATGAAAGCAAGACACAACTTAATTAAAAAATAATAAAAATTAATATTATGTATTTTATATGTATATAGACGAAAGAGAATAATAAAAGCTAAATCTTTTTCATATATCCCTTAATTAATGAAAATGATTAATTTATACTTACTGTATGCGGATAATTTTAGTTGCATAATTATAAACAATAAATGATTTCAATTATATCAGTATATTAAATTCCCTTTATTTAGTTTGTCAAAAAATAATAATTTATATTTTACATAGATTATATATAGATTATATATATATATTCTTTTTATTGTATATATTTTACAATATAAAGGAACCGATTTGTAAAATATAAAGTCTAATATATACACTTCTATCTATTAATTTATCAAGAAAGCGATATTTTGTTAGCCATTCGAGTTTACTTATTATTTACTTATGAAAATATAATGTGTAATTTTACATTACTAATATATGTATACCACTATACATATATACATAAATTCTATGTTTAGTATTAAAAATTGTCAATTCATCACAGAGAAGAATGATATGAAACGCAATAGCATTAATAAGGCTTATTTCTATTTCGTTTTTGTTATTTCCTCAAATTTTTTATAAACCTATGTGTCAATATATTCAATCGCGATAAAAGAATGCAAGAATCTTTATAAAATGTAAAAGTTTTCCTAAGCAATAATGAAGAAATAAATCTTAAAAGTCAACAAAGTAAGTCTGTCAAGTATTCTGCTACTTTTAGAAATTTATTTTTTTAAAAATTTATTTTTTTCAAATTTTTTGTTTTTTTTTATTTAGTTAATTTAGTACATGGCAAACGTGACAAATATGGCAAATGTGATGATATTTTGGGAGCCACTGAGTCTAGTTTAAAATAAAAAAAATCAATTTCTGCGTTTCTAAAAATTAGTCAGCAGTAATATCAATAATGCTTTGGCAACCGCGTCTCTTTTTTAAATAATATAAAATAAATAAGAATACTATTTCCTAACATTCTTCAACATACTGCTTCTTTATCTGAATCTTTTCCCGGAAATTTTCCTCGAAAGAACCATTTGATTTCCCGCTTACGATCTTGCTTCTCCTTATATTGTAGATGTTCATCTATTCATCTATTCACGAAGCAACTTTTTCTCGTCTAACGTGTAATTTGCATTAAGTAGCAAAGTAAACCGCAACAATTATATACTTAAGTCCATACTATAACCAGAATTATACATACGTATATTGATCAAATTTAAATATTATCCGCAATTATATAGTCCCTAAAAAAATATGTATAATTACGTTTTGCAAGCATCATAGATGTACGTAGAAGAAAACTGCGTAATTCCCTTCTACATAATTTAAAGTATAATAAAACAAATAATACGAAAAAATATTATGATTGCCAAGATTGAAAATAATGATATTTTTCGCCCATCAATACGATTTGATTGTAAGAACCATAGTATGGTTGAGCTGTAGGTCCGATTATTCATTATCTGGTTCACTTGTGGTTAAGCTTAACCTGATGTTTCACTCAATCGACTTCATTCATGACATCGTCATAGATGAAGCTTATTGGATAAAATATTATAAGTTACCATAATGAAAATAATGAAAAACCAGGCTATAAACTGTTAAGATATTCTATTTTACGGTTCACAACCATACTATAGTTATACCGTACTATATAATTTTTACAACCAAATTGTATTAATGGACGAAAAATCTAATAATTTTTGTTATGGTAACCGTAACGTTTTTTGCGTATTGAATATATTTTTTTCGAGATAATTTTATTTTAAAGTGCTAATATAGATATTTAATAATGTAGTTTAATTCGAAAGAGTTGCTAGCCGATTTTCCTATAATTTACTTTCAGTACTCTCATCGTGTACGATAGCTGGATTCTCGACTGCCCATTTTTCCTTGGTGGTCTTTTGCTCCTTCCTTGGTCGATCCTTCAAGTTCTGTATACCGGCATAATGCTCCTCGATTTCTTGCAAAGTCCTACCCTCGGTCTCGGGTAATATCACGTATAGTAGACACAAACCAACAAGATTGATCATAGAGTAGAAGAAAATCGCCCCGGGTAGCGACATGCTGTTCTCCATGTAGAGAAAGGTTTTATTCGCGATCGACGCCATGATGTAGGCAATCATACCAGCCGCGCCGGTTGCGCTGCTGCGTACCTGATGACGAATTCGAAATCGTTTGACAAGAAAATCACACGAAGTGTGATAAATTCTGGTTTTAATGAAACTTTGTATACACTTTGTAGAATTACCTATTTAGAATTTACAATAGAAACCATTAGATGCTGATACAACATCTGCGAGAATCGAATCGTACTTTGTACACTTTATGAGTACGATAAATTTGCAGATAAAAAATGTTTACGTTTGAGTGAGCACAATTTTGTGTTCGCAATATATTCGTATCTAATATAATCACGAATGTGCGATTACCAGCACGAAATTTACACGTTCTTGACAACAATGCTTGTGAGACACCAAACATCCATTTGTAACGTGAGTGTATGACTAGCAACATATCTGCATTTATTAGTTACTGTAAAACTATGATTTCTGTCCGTTTTTCAAGGTAGATATTCTATGCATTTCTTTAAGCAAAGTACATATCCACGCTTGAAGTATCCTGTATATGCGAACAGAAACAATTAAATGATTTTTTAGTAGTTTTTATCGGATAATACAGTGACAAATATCCACATTAAACGGATAGGTATTTATTATTATTTTCTGTACGTTTCTGTTTGAGAGGTTATACAAAAAGATGAATTTAGAAAATGTCCATTGCAGCGGAAAAATGATTTTGAATGAAATCACCCCTTATGTGATAAAATGGTTTTCAATTTTTTCCATTATATCTCAAAAATTATTCGAAATATCAAAAAATGTTTCATACAAAAGGTTTACAATAAATTTACCTCTATTCATTTACGTCAATAATATTTTTAAACATTTTTTAATTAAAAAATTTTTTTTTATTTTTCAAAAATATTATTGACATGGATGAACAAAGTAATTTTATTGTAAAAGTTTTGTATGAAACATCTTCTGATATCTCGAATAATTTTTAAGATATATCGAAAAAAGCTAAAATCCCGTTATAAGGGGTGATTTCACCCCCTTTAAACCGCTTTCTCGCAACTAATATTTTTTAAATTCATCTTTTTATGTAATCTATATGTATACAAAGATTTACTAAAATCAGAATTTAACACTTCGTGTAGTTCCCTTGTGAGATCAAGAAAAATATATGTTTATAAGCGTTCTAATAATAATTCAATCTTTATTTAATTTGAAAAAAATCAGTTGATCTTATTAGATTAATATTAGTTTGTCAAAAAAATTTTAAAGCATCATTTAATTTTTACATGGAAAATGATTTTTATATACAAATATTTAAAAAACAATGACAGATATTCTTTAAAATTGAAGATCATGTTCAATAACCAATTCGCCAATAGTCGATTTCATTTTCAATACTATTGATCTAGACCAGTACTGAGATTTACGCACTTTTCGGCCGATTTTCAGCTTAGTTATTTTAGAATAAATTTGTATGTAAAAACCGAAGAGTGAAAATACAGACCTTTTTTAACAACCTAGTAGATGAGAAGTAGTTTGGCAATTAAATGTAAATGAAATTTAAACAATTTCAGGGATTAAAACTTGAAAATATTAAAAGAAAAATATAAATAATTAGATTCTGATCGAAATTTTTGCCGAAATTGAACTGAAACACTCGGCTACATGACAATTTCAATTGAAACCAAAATTAAAAAATAGGAATCCTATAAAGATCATATATATAAACATCCTCATATATCACATACTTTTTCTTCATAAATATCATAATTTATTGAAACAATAAATAATTAAGTCGAAAACGAAAACCAAAATTTCGGTTGTATCAATTTTTACCAAAGAATGTATATTATAGTATATTATATTATATATAAGTTCATTAAACATTATAATTTAATTATTAAAACAATAATTATACATAAAAAAAATTAATATTTATGAAGAAGAGCTATATCGTCGAAATTGAGCGTTACGTAATGAGCGTTTGTTTTCAGTTTTGGTAAAAGTTTCGGTTGGATTCTATAAATAATAATGTAAAATATACGCACTTTTACAGGGAACACCTCTCCAGCGAGAATCCAAGGCAGCGTCCTGATGCAAATGTTTGCCGTGAAAGCACCGCCTATCATGAAGGTAGTAGGTATCCAGCTGTATTTAATCCCGTCCAAATAATCCGCATTGTTTAAATAACCATAGATAGCAGTAGTGAGGAAGCATAATCCGGTACCGCCGACCGAAAGGAAGGACAGCTTGCGTTTTCCCATAAGGTGGATCGTCAGCACGCATATTGTAATGCCTATTAACTGGGCTATGCCCAGGAATACCGTGGCAGTGTATTTGTCGATTGGTGCGTTTAATTTCGCGAATATTATAACAGCGAAAGTCTGCAGGGTCGTGCAGCCGCCGAAGTTACTGATAAAGAATGCTGCGCTGACCAAAAAGAAAGGCTGGTAGAAAGTTCGATCCGTGTAGGCTTGCCAAATCTTTTCCTTTTCAGAGCCGGTATTATCGGTCGGCTTCTGAATTGCCTCGCAAAGCGCTCCAAATTCATTATGCACGTAAGACGGGTTTACCCAACCCCGCAACCAGCAGAGAGCGTGTTCTGATTCCTTGAGACGACCCTTAACTAGAAGAAATCAATTTTTCGTATTATATAAAAAACTAATAATTCTTAAAACTAATAATTTTTAAAAATATTTTCATACAAGATTAGGCTACTCATATATTTATAATATTTGTTTCTTTCAAAAATGGTGAAAAAAGTTTTTATTTAAAACAACAGAAAATGACGATATTCTATCGTTAAAAATGTAATCATAATTGTTCGTTTTAATTCTTATATTTGAGAAGAAAGATAAATAATTGGTTAATATTTATAAATAAGTAACAAATAAAATAATTTAAGAACAAAAATGAGCTAATAATAAAAATTTGGCAAATTTGTGAATAAATAATAATAAATGATTGGATTGACAACCTACCGGCGAGCCAGTGTGGACTCTCGGGCACCAAGCATAAAGCGAGAAAACACAGAATCGGATAAATCAGATTGATTAGCGCCACCGTTCTCCAGTGGACCAAACTGCCGCTCAACATTTGCGTGAAGATCCCCAGGATCACCGCCATCGAGGAAGTCGCAGAGAGCATCCCTCGCAGATAGGGTTGCGTCACCTCGGCGACATAAGTTATAACTGGACCTTCGAGAAGGCCTCCTGTCAGGCCCGTTATCGCGAGCGCTGCAAGCAACATCCCGGGATTGTTGGAGTAATAATATATCAGCCAGGCCACGACGAACGGTATATTTGCCAGCATCATTGTTCGTTTTCTACCCAAATACTGTGACACCGGTCCACTCGCTAAGCAGCCGATCGGCACGAGAAATAAGTTCAGGCTGCCTGGAAGAGGATATGTTAATAATGAAAACATTGGAGAAAGAGAGAGAGAGAGAGAAATGATAATTATTTTGATACAGATACAATAAATAAGATTATTATATGACATCCAGTTAAATTATTCAGTTAAACTTAAATGTATTATATATAGTAAAATGATAATTAAAATTAATAATTTAAATGTTGAATAATATGATGAACTAATATTACAACTTATCATACAATTTAATTGATATAAACTTAAATATCACAATGAAGAAATATTATAAGAAAAAAGGCTAAAGGGAATTTCCTTAATAGATAAAAGAAAAATATTATATTTTAGAACACAAATTTTTAAAATAATTCTATGTTGTGCATTCTCTTAACGTGCTATATTTAAAAATAGTTCTTTACTGATCCATCTTTTGTAACGCCGGGATAAGGATAGTTGAGAATCCCAAGGTTGTACCGAAAGTAATCAGGAGTAAATTTTTAGCGCCAACTGCGCAACATTGTGGTATTGCTTGTCGAAGTTTAGAAATATATACTTCTTCATCCGTAACTGATGTTTTGTCATCATTCCTAAAATACAGAGAAAAGAATTCAATGTACAGTGATGCTAAAAACGCAATGAATTTAATATCTAATTCTTTTAATATTATATATAGATATATAAATTATTATTAAATTAATAAATATTAAAATTTTCACAAAACGAATTTGTATTAGAGCTCTCTTTCTTAACAATAACTATATATATATGTATAAAACATGGGCAAATGAGAGCTATAAAAGCGTCTCCAGACAATGTGATCAATGTATATACATCAACTTTACACATATTCGTTAAATATTGATCTTCAATATGGATAATTAGTAATTACATATGTTATGTATGTATATTATGATATTTGCTCATGTTGGCATACATTTGTCATATTGTCTGAAGGCGCCTTTACACAGTTATTAGTAGTGAATATTCGATCAAAAAGTCTGTATACACTGACAAAGACACATGTCTAACGAGAATTTAAAAATGTTCATAGTCATAATATTTGAAATGGAATGGAATTGGAGAATGGAACTCTCCTCATTAGAACTGATGATCTTACCAGCTTAGAAACTGAGAAAGAGAAGAGTTCACAAAATTGAAATTGGAACATTCAAGTTCGATGAAAAGTCGTCTTCATTTTTCAATTTTACATTATTTCTCGGTAAAAAATTTTTTATGCATGAATGTGTAAATATGTATAAACATACATAAATATTCATAAATATATTGTATAATTATATATGAAATAAATCCATACATGTTTATACATCCTTTTTTTTTGTAAAATTAATTTTTAGTGTAATAGAAACAATAATAGCAATGTGGAAACATTAACAATAATCAAAAAGATAATTTTCGCATTATTTGTTTTAGAAAAAAATCAAGTTTTAAGAAATGTAAAAAAAATTACTTACGTATAATTACAATATATATAAAATTATGCATAATTATGTATGCACAATTTTTTTTATAATATATTCAAATTACTTGTTTTTTTCAAATGCGAAAATTATTCCTTTAATTATTTTTTATGTTTACACATTACTATTATATTATTATTTCTATTATACTAAAAAGTAATTTTACAAAAAAAATGTATGAATATGTATGGACATGTTTCATACCTGATATATATATTTATGAATATTTATGTATGTTTATACATATTTATACATGAAAAATTCATATATGAAAAATTTTTTACCAGGTTAATTTTAATTTTTAATTAATGTATTTATTATCTTGAAGATGTCTGAGAAAATACTGGCGAAATGTCGACAATTGTTTATGATAACTGTGTAGACTGTTAATTATAATAGAGTAATTAATTAAAATCTTTTTTTCTATACATATCGAATTATTAATTGTTACTTTCAATTTTTGTTATATTTGAAATATTTTTATTAAGATAAAATAATACAATTCTTTTTTAAATGTGTAATTTTGAGTGAAATAAAATTTGAATTCGAATTCGGAGGTTCAAATTTGGTAATCTTGATTTCATTGTATAGACGATACAATTGGGAATCATGAAACAAGAAAAACTTAAACCTCGAAAATTGAATTTAGATTTTATTTTATTCAGAATTGTACTATATTCAATACAATTATGACCATGAAATTAAGATTATATATCATAATAATAGAATTATTTTTTGCAAAATTAATAATCGCAAGAAAGCATAGCAATCATGCTGATTCATAAAAACTTAATTTAACTTTGCAAATAATATTATTTCATAATATTATTAAAAAATTTATTAAAAAATTTCATAATATTATTCATTAAATTGTAACATTTGGTTTATCTTATTTTGATAAAAATAGGCAATTCTCCGCCTAAAAATAACATTCTTAAGAACTTTAGTTATTTGGCCTTGGAATTTGCTCGACACATCTTTAAAGTCTACATTGAACTTTCAATCAGTCGATTAAAAGATCTTAAATGGTAGAGGCAAGGTGGAAGGAGTCTGACATTATGTCGAATAATTTTTTGTATGGAATAATTAAACGCACGTTTGTAATTAAATGGACGGGACAACAGTATACATAAAATTAATTTATTACAAATATGATTAATAAAATATAATATCTATCTTAGGCATCTATTAAATCTAGCAAAAAATATGTTTAAAAAATTTATATCCATAAATTATTTTAGAAAATATATTTTTAATAAAAAAATAAGAATAAGATAATCGTACATAATACATATTAATAAGTGAATGGAAAGGTATTTATGTTATTTGGGCTGAGTACATACACAAGTTTAATAAAATGTAATTCTTCTATCTTATTGAAGTATAATCAACGATTTACAAGATCCTTTCACTTGACGTAATGAATTTGCTTTCGGCAACAATCTCTGTGGCAAAGTTAGATTCAGTCATTCCAAATGGCTACTTGTAGACCATAGGCTACATTCTTAGACAGCATATATTATGATAAATATTTATCATTGTTCATTTTTTGTGATGTTATACAAATATTTTACACATATTTTATATAAAGTTTTATTCAAAATAATATTAAAAGATAGACTAAATATTTAATGTAATATTTATGATAAATATAAATAAATATTTCTGTTAAGTATTTGAATTATGGTATAATCTCTTATTAAGTATTTCCCTAACATTTACTAGGTTTACAATAAATATTTTCTAATGTTTATAATAAATATGTATGATCTATGCAATTTAAGATCACACAAATATTTACGAAATATTTAAAATAAGCCTTATAAATATTTAGAAATATATTTTGTAAATATTTGATAAATATTGTGTGCTGTCTGAGTTATTTTCTAGAGTCGTATATTAAAAACAAAATTTGAATAATTTTAAGAGATATTTCTCTGTTCATGAATTTTTAATATTTAAATATTTAAACATATCTAGTTCTTTGATAAATCGGTTTTGGACTTACGACTTATCATTAATCAAAGACAATCCGCGGGCGTAATTTTATGCTATACTCTTATTTTAATCTATTTTATTTCATAAATAGTATTTTTTGCATGTAATATTTTTTTCTTAATATTTATTATTTACTTATAAGTAATTTTTTTTATTCTAATTAGTTAAGTTGATGAAGAATTTCGTAAATAAATTAGTAAATGAAGAACTCATCAATAATTCTCTTGCTAGAAGAAATTATGAGGATTTCTTTTTTTCTACTTATTATTCTATTTAAAATAGCAGATAATCTGAAATATGCATATAAAATAAATTAGAAAAAGACTGTTATTTCACAAATTGAAATAACAATACGAAATATTTCTGAAACTGTACATAGAAAAAAATACGAAAAAATCTGTTCATTTTAATTTTAATGACTCTCATAAACAGGACGCGATAATGCTTGCCGCGCAGCGGAAATTAGAGCAGTAGCCAATCATTCTTTTACTTTTATGGAAAAGCAACAAATTAATTGGCTCTTGCGCTAATTTCCGCTGCGCGGCAAGCGTTGCCGCGTTTTGCAGGAGTTGTAAATAAGGCTTTGAAATAATCCCGCAAGAATATTCGCGAGAAGAGAAAGAGAGAAAGAACCGGTTTACGATGATCCACATATTGTACGTATATTGCGCAAACGTGCAAGAAGGCGCGCAATTACATAAGCAATGACGTTTGAGGCACCTTTTGTGTTGAATCGTGCCGGTTTAAAACCGTTGCAACGAGCGTTACGCGAAACACCGGCGAACAATGCAACGATTAGTACGAACGAGTTATTTATGCGAGGTCGCGTTAGTCGAATATAGCTATATTTTTTTACGTTCTCTTGTATTCCCGCGTTTTACACTTTCCTCGTTATTTTTTAAAATTTTTTTTGCAGATTTAAGTCTGTAGGTCGCGAAATCGACGTTGCGTACGTTGGCTTTAGACAAAGTGTGTCGCTCACTATAAGTACATGCCGTTCTCTCATTCTGAATGAAACGATCCCAACGATGATGTAACATCATCAATCGTGTATTACAATCCCATTTTCCACCTGCTGAGGCACATAAATATATCCGTTGCTCTTTCTCGCGTATATTTTTATACATCCTTCACATTTTTGTGTATAATCTACGGCATTGATAAAAATACAAATTCTTACAGGATGCTTCTTAAAACTAACAAATGTATTCTTTTTATAATTCTTTTTTAATATTTAAATTGGTTGAATTTTCGTTTTTTCGACGACTTTTTATGTCTTCACATCAACTGTTCCTGCAATTTTAATAATTATCATTATGCTTTTTTCTTTAATGATCTTAAATTTGAATTTAATGATCTTAAAATTTTTGTTTGTTTAGAAAATGGAAATGTAAGTAGGATTTAAAGATCCGAAATCTAAGTTATGAAACTCTCGACTGAGAATGCTGTCTGAATTATATTTGTCGATGGATTTATTCTCGGACTTATTATTCATCCATACTTATACAATTAGCGATATTTAGTTTGATCGAACATGATGTGATTTTAATTATGCATGAAATATGCCAACTGAATGTCCTTCGCAAGCTCGTAATAACGTGCGTCTACTTTAACGCTAGTCCACTTTTATGAGACATTAATTGCCTTAAACATTAATTATACTGTCCGATAAATTTAAACTTTCTTTGTATCACAAATCAGATAAGAAAGTAATTTTTATGAATCTTTTGTCACTGAATCTACTGAAATTATTTTGTCGTGTTATGTTTTTGAGAAAATTGGATTTAGGGATGCCGAAAATAACATTTTGTTGATATTTTTTAGCCGAAGTAGCTAAAAAATGATGTAATATGACTGTGTTCCGCAAATGGATCCATTTTTTTTCTATGCCAAAGATCTATAAAAGTCATCTATTGTTGGCTGCTTTGTACAAAAAGTTACAATTATAAATGAATTAAAAGAAAAAGATTTAAATTCATGTCCATTTATATTCTATACAATTCTTTTATTGAATTTTTTCTTTGTTTTTTTTTTACAACAAACGGAATGATGGAAAAATATTGCAATTTATATATATTTCCATAGAATTCAATGGTATTATTATTCAAAAT